GAACTCTTCTTCAATCCGCGTTAATTCTCATGTCTTGTCTCTGTCTTAAAAGGAATCAAATGGGATATATAGTTTTAAAACACTTGACTGCTATTCAGCCAGCAACTATTCTGTTTGCCACTGAGCTCAGGTAGCTTCTAAAGTGCCACTAACTTTCCTCCAAACTTTCCACCATCAAACTCCTTTCATGCTCTTCTGTTGGAATGGTATTGCCGGTGCCATAACCTCAGAGGAACCCCAAGGGGCTGCAATGTCCTCATATGGGGTCCGTGAAGCCTTTAAGAAATGTTATAATCTTTTGCAGTTATAATAGGAAGAAAGGAAACGTAGCACAAAATCTTAATTTACCTTGCTTCTTTGTGTAAAACTTGGCTTTTCTAATCTACCACCTCGGTTAAAAGCAAACAAAAGGAAAACTTGGTTATGAAAATAATTGATAGCAAATAACTGATATTTCTGCACATGATGAGAACATGTAAGTGAATGATGCTGAGTGGCTGAGAGACAGCACGTGACATTTCTTGCTACTGTGCAGTCAAAACTGCAGGAAACTCTTGAGTCAGAGCCAGTCAAGTGACAGTGTGAGTGAGTATTTGGATAAACTTTGTGATCATGTTTCTTTGATTTCTGCTAATAAAACCATTTGGTTATTGTTGGGTAAAGTGACTCCTCAATATTATTACACAACAATACATTTTGGCTGAGCCTCAGTTTGGATCACTGGCTGAATCTGAAATGTAAAGAACTGATGGTGTTGATGGTGCATCCTGTTCAAGCAAAAATTGCTGAAGAACTATATGGTTTCTGCATTGATAAACAAGAACATTGCCAAGAACCTTTTGTTAACACCTTTGTCAAATGACACAGTTAAGAAGCAAATTATTGGTTTGTCTGCCAATATCAAGGAACAATTATTTAAAATACCCTGTTTCCTTGAAAATAAGCCTTAACTTGAAAATAAGCCCTAGTATGATTTTTCAAGATGCTTGTAATACTGTATAAGCCCTAACCCAAAAATAAGCCCCAGTTAAGCGAAACCCCACCCTCCACCATTCTGCAGCAACCAGAAGAAGATGACATGACTGCATCTGAATAAATGTAGAGTTTTGTGTATGAAAAAAATAAAACATCCCCTGAAAATAAGCCCTAATGCGTTTTTTGGAGCAAAATTTATATAAGACCCTGCCTTATTTTCGGGGAAACACGATAATTCACATGCCCCCCTACTTTGCACCACAGTTGGACAAAAGCAGAGATATAACAAACATTACTGTGCTATGTTAGATATGAGCATTACGGTACAAATTTTTTTTTTTGACATACTGTTCATACATTACTGTGCTATGTTAGATATGAGCATGACAAAAATGTTTTTTGACATACTGTTCATCTCCTTGTTGGTACACACTACAGCTGAAGAAGTAGTTAATATCTTGGATGAGTTTATAACATCTCATGAAATTGATTGGTTGAAATGCTTTGGAATTAGCACAGACGGGTCACAAGCAACGTATGGAAAGCTTACTGGACTTCTAGCATGGATTCGGGAAATCATATCACTTGCGACTTGGTACCATTGCTGCATACATCGGGAAACTCTAGTTGCTAAGAAGATACCAGAAAAACTAAAGCAGACCTTAAATAAATCAGTCAACATTGTCAATTTTATAAAAAGCAAATAACTGAATTCAAGATTTTCTGAACAGCTTTGCAAATGTATTGACAATGAACACCACCAACTTTTGCTACACTGTGAAGTTTGTTAGCTATTACAAGGTAAAGTTTTGTCTCGTTTTTGGGAATTAAGATTATTCCTCATGGAGAAGCAATTTCACATCAGCAATCGTTGGACAGAGTTTTCCTAGTTAGTTAAATTAGTATATACAGTGGTGCCTTGACTTATGAACTCCAGAAGATGGTCGTAACTCGAAAGGTTTGTAAGTCGAAGCACCATTTCCCATAGGAATGCATTGGGTGGGGTGGGAATCACAAAAAACAACAACAACGATACTGCAAGACCTATCAGAAACACAATTAATTCGTTCCGGCCAAAGGAAAACAAAAAACAAAAGTAAACAAACCCTTCAAGACTCATCGGAAATGCAAAAAATGAAAACAAAACAAAAAACACAAAAAAGCAAACAAACTCTGCAAGATCAATTGGAAATGCGAACCCCCCCCAAAAAACAAAGACTGCAAAACCCATCACAGCACAGAAACATAACCCCTCCATCCCAAAACCATGCTGCAAAACCCACCCAGAACAGGCAGTTTTTAAAAAGCAGAAAGCTGCACCTTACCAGGCAGTCCGAAGCCTCCTCCAATTGCACACTCTCTAACCGCTGGGGTGAAAGACCTACAAGGACACACCCTCTTCGCCACCAACAGTTAATAGTTTGAATTCCCTGCCTTTTTCCTTGCCTTTTTTCCAATCGTAACTGGAAGCTCCAGTCGCAAGTCGATGCAAGTCGTTGCGGCCAGAGCTGGTCGTAACTCAAATTGGTTGTAAGTCGGGACATTCACAGTCAAGGCACCACTGTATATCAGATATCTTAACCTATTTTAATATGCTGAACTTCAAGGATAAAAGTTTATAGTTTTTCAAGTTGAATATAAGATTGAAGCAGTTAGCAGAAAGTTGGAACTGTGGCATAATTTCCTATGGAACCAAAACTATGAGACATTTCCAAGCCTCACAAATTTTCTTGGTTCCATCGATGACGAGTTGTCTGAGGAGGACACATCACTTACTGCATGAAATTTGGAAGATTTTCAGCATAGGTTCTGTGAATATTTCCCCATTCCTGATGTAAGCAAAAACTGGAAGCAGCAAAGGAAGACAAGCTCATAGAAATATCCATAAATGGTGCTCTGAAACTGCAATTCAATGAACAGTCCTTTCCAAATTTCTGGGCTCTCCTACAAACAGATTTTCTGGAACTGTCTAAGAGGGCTATGAAAGTATCAATGTCTTTCATATCAACATATTTGTGCAAAAAGTCATTCTCTGCTCTCGTTTATCTTAATAATAAGTACAGAAACTACAGTATTTGGAAAAACGTAGTCAGAACTCAGAATACAAGATTCAGCTATTAAGCCTATCTAAGAAGGTTTATAAGTTAATTGCAGCGTCAGCCTTCTCATTAATAATAATTATATGAATATATGTTCCCTTTTCCCCACACACACAACTTATGTTTAATGAGGTACAATTTTGTACAAATTATATTCATGTCGTTTTCTAGCTCTCGTTTTCATGTGATGTTTTGTATTTGTGTGTCATATTAATGATTTATGTGCTTATACTTTCAGTTTCTCCAACAAGAATTAAAGATGATGGTGATGATGATGATGATTAAATACCACCAGGCACAGTCAAAATTATAAAAACATTGACTGGTATTATATAACAGATACAAGTTTTAACTGAAAACCTAGGTATCTGTTAAATATCAGTGCACTACATATGCTGTTCCTAATATTGCTGGTGTTTTTGAGCTCTGATGCTGTGATTTCTGAGATCTGCAACTGCTTATAGTATTGTGTGAAATTTCTTGATATTGTTCCCAAAGCCCCAATGACTACGGGGACCACTGAAGCGTATTTCTTCCAGAGGTGAGATGTTTCAATTGCTAGGTCTCTGTACTTATTTAATTTTTCCAATTCTTTATTTTCAACTCTGACATCCCCTGGAATTGCAATATCAATGATCCAGACATTTTTTCATTCTATTACTACTATGTTTACCAATCACTCCCTTCAAGGTGTCTATCGGTTTGGATCCCGAAATCCCACAAGTTCTTGACTTCCTCATCTCTACCTGATGTTCCCATGGATTTTTGGAGACTGGTAAGCTATATTTTTTGCATAATGACCAGTGTACTAATTTTGCCACTCTGTCATGTCTAACTTCTCCTTTCACTGTAAATTTCCCATATTATGAAGTGGCCTAAGACAGAGATCCCCAACCCCCGGTCCGCAGCCCGTTGCTGGTCTGTGGCCTGAGCTGGACTGGGTCACCAAGACAGACCTCCCACCCCACTTCCCACACACATTCACCCCCACACAGCCCATTTCCCATATTATGAAGTGGCCTAAGACAGAGGTCCCCAACCCCCGGTCCGCAGCCCGATACTTGTCCGTGGCCTGAGCTGGACTGGGCCACCAAGACAGATCTCCCACCCCACTTCCCATACACACTCACCCCCACACAGCCTGTTTGCGCCTGTGCGCACGCTCCAGCACACCTGTGCGAGCGCTGTGTCACCGTTTGCACAGGCGCGTGAGCACAGGGGGTGCCCCGCCTTCCCCAGCTGGTCCGTAGACTGAAAAACGTTGGGGACCGCTGGCCTAAGAAGACAGTCACTTCATGATACTGGCAAACTAAATAATTTATTCTGGGGGGTAGGGGGCAAAAGAAGTACAGTAGGGGGGAAATTACACTATATAATAGGGCAGCACTGCTGCACTGCATGACTTATAACAAATTTTAAATTGAAAACTTCCTCCCAGAAGTGGCCAGCAGTAGATTCAGCTGCAGACAGGTCCTCAACCTGACCTTTAAGAAAAATCACAAAGAAAAGAAAGAAAATCCCCTTTGTTGCCCCTGTCCTGTCTCCTTCTGCTTCTGTATACATCCTACAGTGAATATCTAATATACTTTTTAATTGAATATATATTTTGTACCATTTCAACTAAAATAGTATATTGCATATATACTATGGCAATATCTGGATGCTAGACAGACGTGCTCTCATAGTTGAAGATGGTAATGTTTTTCAACATGCATTGCCTGGCACTGCATGGTATTTCTTCAGCTACTGCATGTGATGTTTCTGAATGAAAAACAAGTATCAGTGTGTGACTGGTAGTAATAAACACAATGTGTATTGCTATTGAATTCTCTGGGGACATCTGAGGCTATCCCTTAACCAATCACTCCCTTTTCCCCAGCCCATTCTGGGTGGAGAGACCCGAGAGGAGGAATGAATTATACTAGGGGCAGACTGGGGAAGGGAGGGCAGAGGCACTGCAGCAGCATCAGGATAGTCCAAAGTTTCTGCTGGAACAAAGTAGAACAACATCAAGAGTCACCAGGAAAAAGGCAGAGTATCACTTTGTTGGGAATATTGGGTGCAAAGGGATGTTGGTGGGAGAGGGGAGCTGTGTCAGTTTTTACCACATTTGTGTTTGGCAGGTAGTCAAAATATCTGGCACTCGTTGGGATCTTATGTGGAGGGGGATCACAAAGAACCAGGGTCTGCAGAAGGAAGAAACACTACTGCTTCTTAAAACAATACATTGGTAATTTTTGGAAAAGGCACAATTCTGGCGAGGTGACATCCGCCATTTGACTAGCTTCTGTGCATGAGAAGGTCCACACAGAATAAGCATAATGGGGTTCTTTGCTCTCCCATTATTTGTGTTTGACTTCTTGAAAGTCAGCAGATAAGGAGGATATGAAAAGGGAATATTACACTAAAGCTGGGGCTTATACACAGCCTATGTAATGGCGGTGAGTAAAAGCAACTCTAAATGGGACTCAGTACAGTTGCTTGTAATGGTGTTAAAAACATATGAGCTGTTGCTTGGCCTCATTCCAGAAAATACAATAATACTTGTCTCTTTGTGATTAAAGTAGAAGAGTTATATCTAGGCAAGCTAGGTTTCAACAAATGACATCACTTCCCATGTTTGGTCTACTTGCTGGGATCAAAATAATAACATTCCAAATATGTCTGCAAAGAGTTTCATTTGATATTGTTGAATCATGTGATTGATTTTTGCTCACTCTTATGGGTATGTTTTTCATCAGACAGTTGGAAATTCAGAAAATTTTAATTTAGGATGGGGCTGTCAGTTTTGAAATAAATTGAAACCATTATGCACACAATTTAATAACCATATTAGTCTGCTGCAGCAAAAAGTAAAGCAGTGTACAGTACTTCTTTAGATTCTTCAGATGGCATCTGAAGAAGCAAGCTAAAGTCCACAGCAACATACTGCTTGCCAGACAAAACTTTGTGGCACCATTAAAGTGTCACAAGACTCCTGGTTAATAGTAGCATAGAATGCTTAAAACTTGCAGATTGCAGATGAGAAGACTGAAAATAAAGCATAATGTGATGATGGGGAACTCTTCGAAATCACGAGAGAGGCAAGTTGCAAAAGAGCTGTGTTTCATAACAGGCATCCCATGAACCTCCTTTCGCCAATTGCTATTTTGAAAATTGATCAGTATAAAATGTCTCTATGTTACATATGGGAGTGTCGAGAGGAGAATGGACTTTGTAGAGAGCAAAGAGATTTAGAGAGAAGTTAATGGCTGGAATTCCCTCCATCCTGATTGGTATAAATGCAATATAGTGCCTGTATCTGTCTTGTGTATAAGACACAACACGCTTCTGCTGTGTCATGTTCTTTGCTGGTGCTATCTGTTTGAATGCATTTTTAGATTCCCCCTTGCTGCTGCTGGCATATCTGAGTTTATATGGTATGAGTCTCACCATTTGCTGCTAAGCCACATTGGATGGAACTACATATTGGAGATATACCATAGTAAATTTTTTACTTTGGATTATCCACAATCCAGAGCAAAATGGCTCCTATCACATATACTGTATGTTTTAATGTGGCAAAAAACAGAGTCACTGGCTGCATGCAAGCAAGAACAATGCTAGGTGGCCAGTGGTGAAGTAGTTGTGTAGCCTCCCAGCACTGGCTGCTCAGTGACTTTGATTTCTCCCAGGGAGTCAGCTTCAGCACCTCTGTTTTCACCACACTTGGAGCAAGCTGTTGTTCCTCCTTTTCAGGACTTGCCTGTCTGGCAACCTTTTGGACTGCGGTAACAGCTGGGGAGTGGCAGTAGCTGTAGTAGCAGGGGTCTCCGCAGTCCCTTGAAGACATGGCTGCTTCTGTCATACAGCTGCCCACTGGACAAGCAAGCCCTGTGGAAGAGGAAGGGCTCTCTTGCCCAGCTGAAACCTTAATGTGTTTTAAAATGGTGCCCAATACACACTATATTAAAGCGGAGGAAAACGTATGTCATGTGAAGCAACAAATGTTGCTTCACATTGACACTGGGTTGAGGCAAATGTGTAGTTCTGACCTTTGTTTCCCTGCCAAACTTCAGACCCAAATGTCTACCTGTTCATTCAAACACAGCCCTTATTTTCATCTATTAAATATTGGATGATACAACAGGGAGAAAGAAAACCATTTATGCTGCCTTGAGTCACTGGAGAGAAGGCAGGATGTAGTGTAAATAATAAATAAACAATATAATTTAGCAGGCAAAAGGAAAGATAGCAACGCTTCTCACTGACATGCAATCATAAACATTCTTGCTAAGGAATAAACCCACAGACCAAATTAAAGTACATGTAATCATACTGCTAATTTTCTTTGTGCTTTTTTTGTATTGTCATATGGTTCACACACACACACACACACAGAGAGAGAGAGAGAGAGCAGACTGAGTAGCACAAGGTAAGCACAAGCTTATCACCTCATTGATTAGCTGTGAGGGATCCCTGACAAAAATAAACAGAGATTTTATGTTGACAGATTGCAGGACTGAAGATAGTGAGTTTGCTATCTTACTCCATGTATGTCTGGCATAAGCCAACAAACAGCCCTGTGTTGTCTCACTCAAAACAGTTGACAGATCTGTAGGGTTCCCAGTCAGACTTTTTATCTTCAGCGAGAGGAGACCCTATATATAAATTGATCCTTTGACATATTTCAAGAGTATTCTGCAGCTTATTATTTGTGTGCAGAATGGTCTGTTCCACATGTCCTTCTTTCTCCACCTCTTGTGCACTAACCCTTCATATAAATGGAAGCTGCTCTTGTTTTCGGCACTGCAGCCTCTAGCTTGCATAACCACATACTGGAGACCGTTAAGGCAGACGCTGGGACACTCTGGCTGTGGAACATTTGCTAGGAGGATTCTGGTCTTCTCTTGAGATCAGTCTGAAAACTCCATCTTGCTGTGATATCACTCTGCATTTAAAAACAATGGACTTAACATCTGACTCAAATGTGATTATTTCCTTACTCCCCTATCCTCACTTTTTAGACCACATTTTTCTAATGAAGAGTTATGCAGAACATAGAAGCTTATCTTGCTTACAGTTTTTTAAGTGCTGTAACATCTGACTCAAATGTGATTATTTCCTCACTCCCCTATCCTCACATTTTATGCCACATTTTTGTAATGAAGAGTTATGCAGAACATAAAAGCTTACCTTGCTTACAGGGTTTTTTTTTAAAGTGCCACATTAGAATAACACATCATCTGAGTTTAGCTGGGCTCCAGGTGAAAGCTTGGGTGGTGCTCAGTGTGACTGTGTCTATAATACATCCATTGCTCACTGACTGATTTTGAAGACTGCGTACTAGGACGTGGAACTAAGCATAACCACCCTAACACTGTTTAGCAAAAAAGAAGACGAAATCTATGTAGGCTTGTAGATCTGCCATGAATTGCTGCAGAAGTTTCTTAATGTTGTTATTTTCTACTGCAGGCTGGGGAGTTGGCCAGGATGGCCTTCTTGCCCTCAGCCACATCAGTCTTGCTGTTGGGACTGGTGATTGCTACAACAGGAACAGAAATGGCTGAGAACAGGACCCGGATATGCCAGCCTGCCCCACTCTGGAAGATTAATGGGACAGCCCCAATGACTGGGCTGGAGGGCCAAGTGAAAGTGGTGGCGCTGTTGAAAGCCAGCTGACAGTTCTGTCTCAAGCAGGCTGCCAGGTGAGTTTACTCTGTAGGGAAGATCACCTGGTTCAAGAGCTGTAAATGTGGCATCGGGGCAAAAGCAGGGGGAAAAATGGGCAACTTCGTAAGTAGATGTAGAGGAGACTGAAGTAGTAAAAGACATGTTATTATCCTTCAGAATTGATTTGATGGGTATCCTAAATGTGAAGCTGGCCATCTTTTCCGTTTCTTTCCTCAGTCAGGTGGAACACTATCCCAAAACAGGTAGTACTATCAGTTGGTTATTCAGAGCTTCAAAATATCACTAGCAGCTATTTTGGTTAGGGGATTCAGGGAGTGATAGCGATAATCCATCAGTAACTTCCAAGATCTGTTTTTGAATTCAAAAACAATATCCCAAATCACATCTTTGCCACTAAGCTCTCTGTTGGGAAAAATGGAACTGAATGGATTATTAGTCAAATATTACAGGAAACTGCCACCTATACATCCCAATCCAATGATTTGTGTCAAGGTTGGGGACCACTGAGTTAGGGGATTCAGGGAGTGATAGCGATAGTCCAAAAATAACTTCCAAGATCTGTTTTTTGAATTCAAAAACAATATCCAAAATCACATCTTTGCCACTAAGCTCTCTGTCTGGAAAAATGGAACTGAATGGAGTATTAGTCAAATATTACAGTATACTGCCACCTATACATCCCAGTCCAATGATTTGTACATTGAAACCTTGGATGTAGCAGACAAGCTATCATAAATGTACTGAAGGTACTGTAGATATAATATATTTCATGAGTTAGAGTTGAAGAATAACTTCAAATATTGTTTACCTATTTAGCAACGATGATCACCGTAATAGCTATGTAGTGAGAATATCTTTCAGGAGAAAAGCTTCCCTGGTGCATATGTGGTTCCACTGTCCAAAAATGGACTCCTTTTGGGGGAAAAAGTAACCAAAGCAGTTCAGAAAGTAATGGACGGAATATGCAGTTAAAGGAATATTTTGCTCTGATATTGTTTACCTATTTAGCAACGATGATCATCGCAATAGCTATGTAGTGAGAATATCTTTCAGGAGAAAAGCTTCCCTGGTGCATATGTGGTTCCACTGTCCAAAAATGGACTCCTTTTGGAAAAAAAATAACCAAAGCAGTTCGGAAAGTAATGGACAGAATATATAGTTAAAGGAATATTTTGCTCCACTCTACTGGTTCTTCTACAGCAATAAGATGTTGCTACATAATAGCATGATTTTGCTAATAACTGGAGCTGTGTGCCTAGAAATTACAGAGCACTGGAAAGCTTTAAAGGGTCTCAGTACCTGCATCTGAATGGAAAGAATCTGGATTATTGCTCCGTGTGAAAAAAAACTCAACTACAAAGAACTGTTGGATAAACAATCGCAGCTGCCAGTAAGCGCACTTGGAGCGGGGCTGCGGAGGACGGCTAGGGCTGCCCCCCCATGCGGCCCAAACCAAATGTATGTGTGCCCCAAACCAAATTTTCATCTTATAATGTGGCCCAGGGAAGGTGAAAGGTTGGACACCCCTGCTTTAAAGGGTCTCAGTACCTGCATCTGGATGGAAAGAATCTGGAATATTGCTCCGTGTGAAAAAAAATCTCAACTACAAAGAACTGTTGGATAAACAATAAAGGGCATTTTGACTCCAGTATAGTTTCTGTTTGTATTGTTTGTAAATTCAGAACCACACACTGACAGTCTTCCATCACATCACTTAAAACTAGGGAGGAATGTTCTATCATGTATTCATTGACAAACTTTATCTAATTTGGACAATACTTGTTGAATCAGAGTCTTAATGTCCTGGTGTGCTGATTCGCATAGTCTCCTGACTTATCTTTGGAAATTTCTGTTCTGTTGTTATCAAATTAAAAATATAAAAAAACCTCCTCAGATTTGATATAAATGTATACTGTAAATGTAAGAATAGGGGTCATGGAACATAAATGTAAAGAGATTCAGCTGTACAGATGGTGAAGTGTAGACGTTTAAGAAACAAATAAATTGCAAATACAGAGAGCAAGGACTGGGAGGGTGTTTACATCTGTGCACTTCCTTTCCCTAAATATTGCTTATTATTGCTCCTCCCATCACCAGCCTTGGCGGCTTGCAGAAGAAGCTCTCTGATGAAGGGATGAACCATGTCAACTTCATGATTGTAAATGAGAAGACTCCTTTTTCCAGAGCAATGTACTGGGAGCTCAAAAGGCATGCACCTGAAAGCATTCCTGTCTACCAACAACAGATCTGGGAACCTGATGTTTGGCATATTCTAGATGGGGACAAAGATGACTTCCTTATTTATGACAGGTCAGTGCTAGAAGGTATTTCTAGACAGAGGATTCCCCTTGATAGCAGTTATATGTCAGAGTGTGCCTGTTCCATCTTTATTTCTTTCTATGGATTTTTCCTGGTTAAATAAATAAAAAAGAGGGGGGGAGAGAATAAAGAAGTTGTGGGTGGGGACTGGGGAGCAATGTCCGTTAAAGGTGCATTTAAAATTCACTGAATAAGATAAGGCAATAACATCTAGAACCATTCCAACAGAACGTACAGTAATTTATTTTCATAGCAAGACCATTTGGAGATGGTGATGTCTTATGCATCTGCTTCCCATGAGTCCTAGGCTGTGAAAACCATGGACCAGTCAGGTTAAGTTGCAATAAATAGAACAAAAGAACTGGAAGGCCTGTTACCCAGCAGTCAGCAGCATGTTGAGGACCAGTGTGGTGAAGTTATTACATTGCTGGACTAAGACTTGGGAGACTTGGATTCCAGTCCTCACTTGGTCATGAAATGAAGGGTGTGGTCACACAGAGAAATGGATCACAATTTGGACAGTCCAGTGCTATCTATTTCTTAGTAGTCATATGCTCCAGCGAAACCCAATCCATGGTCGTGCTGGATCTTTTTGGTCCAGCTGTTGGGCTTCTACTTTTGGGGGCTGGGCTGGAGCAATTCCTCAGCAGATGGTAGATTGCTCCCAGTTAAAGCCGTCCGTTCTGGAGCAATAAAGTACATGCCTTGGTAGCCATCTGATCACTCAGTAACTCTGAGTGACCTCAGGCCAGTCAGACTCCCTTAACTTGACCTCACTGGATTGTTGTAAGGATAAAGTGGGGAGAAAGGGAGGCATGGACACTACCTTGAGTTCATTGGAGGAAAGATGCAGTGTAAATGCTAACAAATCTGAGAAATCAATCTTGAAAGAGTTTGAGGGGATCAAAAGGAAATCCTCAAGAAGTTCTGTATAAATGTATATGAAAAGTAATTAGAATGGTACAAGGAAGAGAACAGAACATGATAATAAGGTACTCTTGGTTATATGATCTAAAAGTTTAAAGGTTTGAATTACTCCCTGAAATAGTGTTGGATTACACCATCTGACTCTATCCAAACCTCCTTCCCACTTGCATTTCTTCTTATTTTCTCCTGTCATTTGCACACACAGTTTGCTTATATCCTCGCTGTACACCACCACAGGTGCATGGGTGGCTAAATTAAATTGTTGCTGTTTTCGTTCCTCCCCACCCCAAAAAAGACACTGTGCTTCTATTATTTGTTCCTGGTTGCCTTTAGCCTTGGTGCTTTGAAGAACCACCAGGACAGAAAAGCTAATACAGGGGTGGTGTGAGTGGTTCTTCTTACCATCAAGCAGCACAGATTTGCAGGGTGAAAATTGGGACAAGCCTGAAATATATAAAGACTTACTGGTGCCAACAGATGGGAGGTACTATTAAACCGTGCCCTTTCTTGTCCTTTTCTGCTTTTGAAATAAAGTGTCAGATCAATTCAGGCTGATTACATTCATTCCCGATACACATGGATGGATCAAGATAACACTCTCCTGACATCAGCTCTGTTTCCTTTTCCTTCTTTTGTTGCTCTTTGGGGTTGCAGGTGCAACAGGCTGGCTTTCCACATTCAGTTGCCATATAGTTTTCTGCACTTACCGTATGTTGAAGCAGCCGTGCGCTACACATACCGCAAGGACTATTGTGGCAATTGTTCCTGGTACCATTCCAACAGCAGCCAGGAGGTAGGAGTTCCTCACCCTTTCTCTTTTGAACAACTGTATATATTTAACCTTGACTTTACTTCACTTCCCCAGCCTGGTCCTCTGATGGGGAATATTAGAAGAATTCTAAATATAACATTCTGACGTGTGGGAGTGAAAGGGCAGAAGACAGAAATGGGGCATTTTAATACATGACCCACAAGATTTAATTGGGAGAAGAAATAACATGGTAGTGCTTGCTCCCATTCCCATATATAGGTGTGTTATGACACTAGCATTTGAATCTTATTTTAGCAGCGGCCATATTGTCACTTCTTTCATTATGCTTGAGGACAGCAGGACCGCCAAGTGCCCCGCACACTGTCCTATCACCCAAACACTTTGTGGTCACTTACAGTATCTGTGAAATGAGGTGGCTGTCTTGCTCTGCCTGATGATGGGACTGATTACTGATTACTGTATTTCTCTTGAGAAAGGAGAATGAATGTTAGTGGGATATCATGAATCATTTTTAATATGTTCTCAAACCATGTCAATTATACTTTGAATAGTAATCAATATTTGCAGCTTTTAAAGGGAGTGCCATGGAGTAGAGTATATTTGTTCCAAATAATTTCTTTCAAGCCTAAAGTTAAGACAAATGCACCTTCTTCCAGGGCCTGGTATAAATGTTTTGGTTGTGTGGGATACCTTACCTCCCCTTTCTTGTTCTCTTTAGATACTTAAAGGTATCTAAGCCACATGGTGAAAAAAGAGGAGGAGTGCGCCTTTGATGGTTATGTAACAGAAGGATTTCAGCAGTTGTAGGTGGCTGAAATCCCCCTTCTACACACCTGTTTAAAGATACAGGAGGCCTGTCTTCTTTTGCATACAGAATATCTGATCCAATGTAGATCTCCACATACTCTGCAATTTGTGGAATTTTTCAGTTGCCCTAATCCCTAACAGCTATCGTATTTATTCAAGTAATTATTTATTTATCACCTTTTATTAACAGCTTTAAAAATGAACATTGTTCTAGGAGATTGGATGGAGAGGTGGCTTTGCGATAGCCACAGTACTCAGCCAATCAGCTCCATCTACAAGCTCCCTGTGGAAAGTGGATGTGGTTTCCTTATTGTTACAACAGACAGAAAGCCAGTCAGTCCTTTACAACTAGCGTCTTCTGAAAACGGAAAGAGCCAGTTGCTGCTCAAGTCAATTTACTTTAGAAGTTTATATGCTGGTATAGTAAGACTGGGTGTAGATTTGCTGACGGACTTGAAATTTAAGAAAAATACACCTGTTTCATCCTTAAAATCTTATGCTTGTTTTCACTCCAAGTCTGTCAACTCGAGTTCATCTGTATAATATATTAGAATCTGGTTTTATTTTTGCAGGTTAATAACACAGCAAGTGTCCATGGTATAACAACTGAGACTACTGAAGTCCCTCAGAAGAGCATACTGAAGAGCAAGCATCAAGAGGAGAGGCAAGAGGCACCTAACACTCAGCATGTAGCCCATCATCATTCACATCATGGAGAAAAAATCAAACATAAAGTCTTGAGTTTAACCAGCAGAGAACACTCATTCTCCCCTTCCCAGAGCCATTCCCAGAAGCATCAAGGAGGAACATCTCAGTAAAATCTTTCAACTTCCATGAAACAACAAAACTCAGTAGGTACACCTATATTTCCCCAAAATGAATAAGAATAAAACACCAAACTAGTATGGGAGCAAACCTATACTGTATTTAGAAGGAAGAACTCTGATGGCTGTTTTCAGCAGAGCAAGAGAACTGACTATCTCAGTTTCTTACTGAAATTAATATTGCCTCTCATGTGCTTTCTGTTGATAGCAGAGAGCATAACACAGCCTTCCGTTTTGTGATTTATACAACTGAACATTATAAGTGCATAGCCAAGATTAAAGTTGTCTTCTTACTTGTGAGTCAACCTCCAGAATCCTTTGCATACACTAATTTTGTTAAGTGCTCTTTATTAGGGGCTTAGCTGGCTTTTCAGAGTTGTTATGTTTTAGCATTGCAGATTGCTTGAGGTAGCCATCTTATTTGCTGAAGGAATCTATAGCTATTATGGTTTTCTGTTTGTCCTGAAGTCAGTTCTGATCCTATCCCCTCTCTTTTTTTTGCCTGATTTTCTGTACTCATTGACGCATGTGGTGTAAACTCTAATATTGCAGTCACTGCAGGCTGACACTGTACAGAAAAGTATGTCAACAGAGATGAAGGGATAGGATCAGAACTAGCATTTGTAATCAAAAGGACAGAAATCAGAATATGCTAACTTCAAGCCTGGAGCTCAAGATTTTATACACAATGGTCCATACACATAACTATTCATTTGAAGACTGTGACATTTGTGGTAAAGTAAATGTGGTGGTGGGGAATCTGTGTTGTGGGAACAGAAGTGGAATCAGCCAAATTTATAAATGTATTAATCTGAGATGGGAAAATTTACTTTTTTGATTACTGCTCCCAGAATCCTCATACTAGATGATACATTCTGGAAGTTGAAGTCCAAAAATTACCGTACATTTCCAATATGTGATATTAATACTTAATATAGCCAGACTGAAAGATTTGGGGTGAGGTTAAAGTAAGCAATTATGTGTTTACTCATACAGTCCAGTCCCACCCTAGTTTACCCAAACTGTTCATGACTAACTGGGGGGGAAATACATTTGTCTCCTTAATCAAGGAAAATGATGGTTGCTGGTGAAAAACAGTAGAACTGTATTCTGGAATAGATGATAGAAATAAAGTTTCTTAAATCAATGTGTTTGAGGTCTTTGTTCACAATAATTGTATGTATAAAGAGCTTAACAATCTTTTGCCTGAAACACACTGTTTCGTCTTGAAACGGTGTTGAGGGTCAGGATGAAAGAAATATCTCATGGGAAAGGTGTAATGGGCAGACCTTACTTAGAGCATTCCATCCCTTTTCCCCAAACCACTTTGCTATAGGTTATTTTAAATAGATCTTTACTATTATGTGGTACTTTGTTGACATTCAGTTAATTGGCATGTACTGGTCAAGTCTTCTCATTGTCCTAAAGGTAATTTAATGACTTGACACACAAATTTGTAAAAGTACAAGATGTGGTGATAACTGCTTAATTAGTTTTGCAAAAGAATTAGACAAATGGAGGGATCTGAAACCACCGAAGGTTATTCATCATGATGAGCCTATACTGTACCTCCTCAAGGATAAGAGGCAGCATGGTTCAGAATACCACTTGCTAAGGGACAAAATTAGGAGAGATCTTCCACTCTCATGTCACATTGCTAGTTTTCTCATGGACACCTCTTTGCCCACCATGAAGAAAAGGTTGCTAGACAACAGGATGCTCTTTGGCGTGTCTTGCCTGTGAGGGCAAAACCAGCATCTTGAGTTGAGCCCAAATATGACTAAGAGCCTGTACATGGTTGTTTTTAGGAAGATGTTTTTTCAATGTCTGGACGCAGTTATATTTTGCACTAATTGTAATTCCCCATTTGTCTCTGAAAGTTATTTATTTAACTTTATTTAATTATTTATTTAATTCCCCACCCCAAGTAAGATCCAAGGCAGCTTCCAGTGTTAAAAAATAAATAACAATAAATTATTAATTATTTTTTAAAAAATTAATAGCTATAATATTAAAACTGGTACCTAAGTACCATTTTTAAAAACACAGTTAAAACAGCAAAAGATACAACAGATCTATGTTAAGAACCCCCTCTTAGACAGGTGGTCACTAAGAGAAAGGCTGCCTGAAGGCAAGGGTCTTTGCCTCCTCGCACCAAGATAGCAAAGAGAAGGCCAGCCTACCTCCCATTAGAAGAGTTCTATAGTTTAGGAGCAGTGACAGTGAAGACCCTGTCTCATGCCCTCACCAAATGCTCCTGTGGGGATGGGATTGAAAGAAAGTCCCCCACCCCAAGGATCTGAAAGCCCAGGCAGGCTTATATAGGGAGATGTGGTCTTTGAAGTAGCTTGAACTCAAGTCATTTAGGGCCTGTTTGGATGTTTCTATTAGGTACCAGCACTTCCCACCCAAAAGTACTAAAAGTTAGGGGTAATTCTGCCTATGGCCAACTGATATTGACAAAAGGACATTAAAGATTTCTCTCACATTAGATTCCTAAGATTTGTGAGTCAACAAAGTGCATCTTTCCTAACAAATAACAATGTTCCTACAATAAGTGTCGTTGTTTGGATCAGATGAATGCACCATTTCTTTCACTGATTAATTCTGTAGAAGTCCTATCAGTTTCATGCTGCACCAGCATGAGGCAGTGGAGCCCAGCGCTGTTCCTCTTCACTATGTCGCTTATACTAAAAGGACCACAGAGCTTGGTTGCTGTATTTGATACCACCTGTAAACGGCATCAACAAGATACATGGACCGTATGGAAAAGGAAGGAGAGAGAAATGGAAGCTGATCACTGTCAAGAAATATGCAAGGGGAAAGACACGTTCTGGGGAATGTATGAATGTGGGAAGAGGGAGGGAAAACAGAGATGGAGACAGAAATAGAAAGAGGAAAAATATGAGAGGTAGGAAGGAGGCAGTCTACTTCTCTTCTGTGTGGAAATAGATCTGAAAGGTTAATCTTCTGATAGAGCAGCATCAGTAGTAGACAGGGTTCTGATAGGACCATGATGGCACGAGCGTGCCAATGACTTTGACGATGATTTGTGTTAACGTGTTTTATTGCCTTTACGCATGCATGAGGGAAATGATGATCATTTATGACTAGGACAGGGGGCACCCTATTGAAATTTTGGGTGAAGTGGTCCCTATCCACAAGCCACCTCTGGATTGAAGCTTATCTACATTTTTGAGCTTCATGGCTTGTAGTGTCCTGCTTCATGCAGAAATCAGAGATACTGCAAATTAACAATTCCCCTTTAGGGACTAATCTGAACTACTGATTGCTATGACTGGTGGAGATGTGGTGATTCGGAAGCTACTCTTGCAGTCTGAGGAAGTGGACTTGTCCACGAAAGCTCACATGAAAACATAGCAGTTAGTCTTTAAGGTGCCACAACATTCTTGTCTTCTTTATTTTCTGTTTTTCTTTTCTTTTTGCCTGGCACTTTTTGCTCATTCAATTGGGGTATAGCATAACTTGTTTTTGTTTATATTTTGGAAACATCATACAATGAATCAGGTTCCTGAAAGGCATGCACACAGGTCACTTCCAGAAGTATTTATTTGTCCTGCAGTGTACCAACATGGCTGTTAATGCTCAACTTCACGTGTTGCTTTCAAATGCAAACAAATTTGTGGATTTTACTTTTCCACTTCTTTTGGCAGGGTCACACACACAGAAACCAGAAGGCTCTAGATATTTTTCGTTTTTTGTTCCTGTCCTAGTTCCTGTTGTTTTCTGTCTCTCCCAAACAACTTATCCTTGAACTGTCCTTTGGTCACTTGATTACATTCTAGTAGAAATGAGTCTAAATAAAAAGTATGCCACTTGGAAGCCTTATTTCCTTAAAATAATCATATTTGAATTGCTGGATAGCTCAGTGGTTTAGGTCTTGAGCCAGAGGTCGGGAGTTGTAATGATCCATAGTGTCCCTTCCAGCTCTGCAGTTCAAAAACTTATCATCATCACAGAACTGAAGAGCTGGGAGGGACCTTGCAAGTGATTGGTTTTATAGTTTTAGAAGTCCTGCTGTCTAGATGACTAGTATCTGAGCCATTGAACTCAGAACTGGCATCTCACAATTCTATGAAATATACATGAAGAAATATTCTGGGCAAACTTTGTAGCATATGAAGCAATATGAGATTCCATTCCTATTTGCATGTAGATGAGATTACATTCCTCGTGCAACAACACTGCTCCCAAACAGCAGCTGGTATAACCTAATGTACCATCTGATTGCTCACCCCATCATTAATCCCTTTCCCCCAAATTTCTGAACTGTCACTTGTTTTAGAGTTAACGTGTAGCCAGTCCCCTGTCTTCCTTTCATATCTGGCTGAAACCCCAAGACTGGATTTTTAATAAGCCTGTAGAGGCCCTAGGTGAAACATCTGGGAAAAAAAATTATTATTAAGGCTGCAGCCCTGTTGACACTTTTGTAAAAGTGACTCCAAATGTACCAGTGGGAATTACTGATGAGCTAATTGACACAGGACTGGGCTATAAGAGACTTGTTTAATTTTGATAGTTTCGTACAAATCAATCTCATATACTTATTTTTCTTCATTTGTTTTAATTTTATGTATGGTCTCCATTCTTAATTTGTTAGTTCTTCTTATATTGTATTGTTTTTAGGGAATTAAATTATTCTTTTTTTAAAAGGTTAGAACTAATTTTTGCTTAGGACAACAAAAGGATAATCAAAAATGTCCATGGGCTTCTATCTAATTTTCCTGATACCCTTTTGCCCAAGCTGCTGCTCCCATTAATTGAGCTTACATTCTTGGTAGTTGTGTCCTGTTTGCCTTTGCAGTAATCTGAGTCCATAGGTTCCTAGACCTTGAGTTCTTATCATTCATGTTCAGTTCTCAAATATTTGCTAAAAGCCATCCTTCAATTGCCCTCTCAGTTTCTCAGCAGTGCTAATTTACTCAAGAAAGCCCAATGGGAATTTGTGATAGAATCCAGAGCAAAGCAAGGTTAATTTCAACATACAGACACAGATCCTGAGGACATACTAGATACTAAGCATGTTTTCTCTGATCAATACTCCACCCACCACACCCCTAGCAATAGGACTTTTGCAGAGACATCTGCTTCAGCAGCCAGACTTGCAAATTAAGCCTTTATTTGCCTCCAACTGGCCGATCACAAAATGCAGCACACCAATGAAAGATATATATATGTGTAGAAAATCACATGCTGTGACATCTTCCACCATTTGGGAGGCAATTCTGCAAAAAACATGACAAATGGGTTAAAAAGTGTGTGAGAGAAAAATATTTGGGAACATACTGTATAGTTCTGGGGTTGTTATGGGTGAGGGTTCCTGATTAATCTGTACCCAGGTCTCTTCCAAGTCTGGTTTCACTTCCTCAGACTCAGATTTAGGAACAATGTGTGGACAATCAATATTTCAGGAACTTCAATAAAACTATTTACATCACATTTAAGATTGGTCTTCTCTTCCTCACTCAATGGGATAAGAAAAGGGTTCCATTCTTGAACAGTAAATGGATTGTCATTATTAGAGCCCCACTGTTCATTTCTGCCAAATGAAAAATAACACAGTACTGTCTGGGCTGTAACAGTATCCAAATGAAGATGGAGGCCACAATTTCCCAGTGCTTTCAAATCCTGTTTGTGTCAACAGGCAGGTTGAGTATAGTGCTTGGGTACTTAAAAGCTGCTGAAAAGTATTTGGAGGTAGCCTGGGCGAAAGATTTTTTGTTGTCACTGATGTTCCAGAATGTTACAATATGCAATTTGGAGTAGTGCATGGGATGGGGAGAAAGGATTTGTGTAACCTGAAGAAACACTACTGGTGTCCTGTACTGTGTAAATGTTAAGGAAAAAAGAGGAAATCAAAATTCCATGGAAACCACATCCACAATGTTACTTATTCTGTCTTGCACTCTAATGCAACATTGTGGAATGTCCTCCATTCTATATCCTAGTGCTCAGTTTAAGTGAAGGCAAAAGGCAGATGTCTGAGCTGCAATCATCCTTGTATTTTCAAAAAAACCAGGACCCACTATTTTCTCTTCATTCCAGTGGGCGTTGCTAGGCATAATGTAATCTACCGGGTACTTGTCCATTTACCAGTAAATCATCAAGCCTGTATTCTTCATCTGGGGAACAAACTGCGCTGCACACCTCATGGCTACCACGTCTAGTTGCTTCAGTGCTTCATTTTTCCCCTTTACAGGCTTTCCCCTCCAAACTACCCAGCTTAATGCACACAAACTACAGAACTCAAAACATTGCACAATTGAGGGTTGCCTGGTGAGCCAAAACCTGAGGTGGGGGAGTGAACACTTGCAATGTCAAAGAGCTAGGACAGATAGGTTTGGTATTGGGTTGGTACTTTGTGTAAGCCAAGCTCGTTGTGGAATCCTGCTGGCAGAAGAAGCGTGAAGGTAAAAGGGCCCAGAATTTGCATAAAAGAACACAGCTAGCCATCCAGAATAAAACTCTATGGTTTTGCTGCCTAGCAGGCAGCAAATTGTTCCCAGAAGTTACAATGGCTGTTGATATTTCTGCTTGAGTCTCACTGTTTAAACACTGTTTCTATTGGTAACTCAGAAGTAAAGCAAGTGTTAATGTGAACATGGTGGCTTTCTAATGCATTGCATATTCAGTTTTGAATATATGGCATTGGACAATGGGAGTCATTTCTTCATCTCGCTTTGTCTGCCTTGTATGATTATGTTGTAAGCCGCCCAGAGATCTTTGGGTAGTGTGGGCGGCATATAAATTAACCAACCAACCAACCAACCCTCTCAAAAACAGCTGCAAGTAAGGACACTCCACAATTCAGTCTACAAAGTTATCGACCTTTGGGTAGTGTGGGTGGCATAGAAAATAAACAAACAAACAAACAAACCTCCCAAAAACAGCTACAAGTAAGGACACTCCACAATTCAGTTTACAAAGTTATATTATGATGCTGAAAAAGCCATGCACCACACATTAGCATTTATGTCTTCCCAATCCTCAGAGAGTTTAACTCAGTGAAGTGAGCATGGATCTGAAATATAGTACTATAAACTCATCTTCATGTTTCCAGCAGCATCCTTCCTTTAACAATGCCTTTAACATACTGACACCTAGTGGTAGCAAGGAACATATTCTTAGGACTATGCCACAAAGTACTTGACAAAAGCTCGTGCTGAAATAAATGTTAGTCTTAAAGATGTAAAAATAAAAAAAAAATATGCAAGAAAACCAGTTAGAATGTCTAAAGGATATTTTCCTAATGTCAGGCAACATTGTGGGCTCAATTAGTGCAGTTTTCAAATTCTAAATTAGGCATTAGCAGCTGCTGCAATTTGATAATCACATGCTATCAATTCTGACTTATCATAATCATTCCCAGGGTTGTCTAGTTACTGAATACTCAGAAGTGTTTGACCATTCACTTCTTCTGGGGGCACCCTGGGACTGTGCAACTTGCCCAAGGCTACCTAGGTCTGCTGCTCTCCCAGGAGACACAATGGGGAATTGAATTTCTGATCTCAGACTCCAAAAATAAAATCAAAACTACCACCTCCTTTTTGCAAGCGACCTCCTATATATTACAAGCTGATCTACCTTCCTGTGATTCTCAAAGTCATTCCACTTCTGTCATAATTGTTGCATCTGTGCTCCAGATACCCATGCCAGCAGATCATTACCCAAGTTCATATTCTAGAACCTTGAACTCTTCAAATCATTTAGACACGATGGAATTCTTGCTGCATTTCAGATGAACAACCCACTCATGTGCATTCACAGAGATAAGAACTTGCTTCTCTCATTGTATTTTACTCACATCAGTCCTCATCGCGCTCTCTATCCTGGAAAACAACTGGCACCAGTGTGAAAGAGTGGTCTTTTAGACCAGATGGGCAGGGTATAAATCAAATAAATAAATAATTAAATAAAATAAACATATATCACACCCCAAGGCTGCTTGCTTGGGGTTAGGAGTACAGGTGAAAAAAATAATAAATTAAATAAAATAAACATATATCACACCCCAAGGCTGCTTGCTTGGGGTTAGGGGAAAAAAGTATTAGTAATACTCAGTGACCCTAACAAGACTTCCAAGGTAAGTGATTTTGACATGACAACACAATCACACACATGCATAGGAATGTTTAGGACAGCAAGTATTTTAGGATGCTTTTTGCATTTAAATGTTTGGACACATACAGGTACTATGCTTCTAAGCTGTCATGTGTCTATAACATACTCCCCCCCCCCACTTCTGGAAATGAAGACTTGATTTGTATTTTTATCTAAAACATCTTAGTAGTTCTGTTTCAGAGCAGCTATTGATGCTCTTACAATTTTGAGAACATTCAATGAAGTTGACACATCCCTGTTTTATTTCTTCAGAAATTTAATGACAGTACAAAATACTAGACAAATACAAAATATCTGTTCTACATGCAGCACTAAGCCAATAACTTAGATGGGTATTGGTTATCAGTTACCCACATGAGCAGAAGGAGTGTTAGGTTTGCTACCTTGGTTCAAATAATTAGGACGTAACTCGGTCAGTACTTACAGCTACTGCCAACAGGTTTCAATCCCCAATCCGTTTACTCAAAAAAAAAAGCATCCTGCTAAAAGCAATTGAATCCAGAACAAATGGCAGCCATAAGCCAATCGGCTCACAATATAGTTGCTCTTTAAATATAAGAATGGTAAACAGAATTAGGTCTTACATGGGTTACATTATACATTGTAACATGACACATGGTATATTTGTAACATGACACATGGTATATTCACTTCTGCTTGGAAAAGTACTCCCTACTGTTCTTTACATCAGGTTTGATTGTGTCAGATCCAGGTTGCCAGCCAGCAGGACACACTGAAGAGATAATAGTATATAGTTACTGAGGAGTACAGATAAATGGGACACATGAAAAACATACTTTTAGGTTTTTATAGCTACATTTTCTACAAGGAAACATAAGTGAGTTATTTGGTTTTTTGGACCATTCATCATGATGCTTCCAGAATATTCAATTAGAGCACTGCTTTCTGAAACATTAGATGGTCTAATGTTATTAGAAGACACACCTTCCTGTCCGTTTTTACCTGGAATATCACCAGAGGAAGAAAAGGAAGGGCAAAGAGGCTGCACAACACAGAATGAGTGGATGCAAGGAATGTTGGAAGCAAAGATATATAAGCATGATATTTAATAAATGCATATGATCAAAAGACAGTGATAGATTGAGCTAATGCAACACGAAAACAGTATTATAAAGCTGCTAAATGCCAGAGTAACAACCCCCCGTTCTTTGCCTCATTTCTAGTAAAGTGATCTCTTGATGTATGTCTGTAATTGACTTGTGCAGTCCATAGGCAGAAACTACCAAGGGGCTTCAGGTACGGAAACTGCAAGTCACACACGGGAAGGAGAATGCCCTTTTTTAAAAAAAAAATCTCAATTCAACAATAGGCTGAAGCAAAGCAAGCAAGTTACTTTTTCAGTCTAGTCCAGGATCCTTTTGATAAGGAAATTAAGCTGGCTAACTTGGCCTTAATGTTCCTTGTTTCCTAGATGGAAGCAATAGTGAACCTCCACCAACTGTCACAATAATTATCTTAATCCCATAGAGAATAATAAGAGTCACAAAATAAAACTTGCTTCCATGTCAAGCATTATCTGGCTATTTCTTCGCCATTCAAGAGCAACAACAATAGTACCCAAAAACTGCCTCTATCTCTGGAACAGTGTTATACAGAATTGGAACTCTGTATTTTCATACACACACAACGTATATGTATGCGTGTGTATATATATCTCTATACACATATACATACGTACGTGTGTGTGTGTCTGTTTCAAGTCCTCCATAGAGCGCATGCTACCATAGTCTCGCTAGACTGAAGGATGCCTAATATGTGTATCTATATATACACACACACACACCATTATTTCTTTGTATTCTTAATTCTATTTAAACTCTTGCATAATTTTTACAGTCTCAAATCTTTTACAGTTAACTAGTGCCTTCTCTTTCACTGAAGGAAAATACCATAGCAGAAGCCACACAAGTAGGGACAATGACAACATTACCTTCTCCATGTTTGTCTGTAAACTGAAAAGCCTGAACTAGTCGGAGTGTTTCATCAACCCAGCGGCCAACAGGAAGATCATTGATTGTGATCTGCCGTAAAATCCCTTTGTCATCAATTATAAAGAGCCCCCTAAAATGAAAGAGCACCGCATGCAAACAAGTATTAAAACCTATGCTAACAAAACACACAGCTGCAAAACTATAAGCTAGCCCTGTTCTGAAAATACTCTTTTCCTCTAAAGATAGGAAAAAACAAAGCAGTATGAAACAGTTTACAATTCCTCCTGGAAAGTCTTGTAGAACATTATATAAAGAAGTGGCAGGGATTTCCAAGATTTCTCCATATCTGTGCTGCTTCTGCTTATACCCTAGACTCCTGTGGTTTGAAAACACAGACCATAAGTTAAAGCACACTGAAATCTTTAGCCTTCTTTTGAAGAACATTTTTTTAAATCTCCAGAGGGAGATTAAACTATGTTTTTCTACATCAGGCTAGAAGGCACTGTTACTTCAAGAGTAAGAACGTTCCCATCCCAAGTACCTCCTGGTCCATACTCTCTCCCAGTGTTCATTTTGCTCCCCAAATTTTTCTACCATCTCTTTACTGCCTCAAACTAGTTTTTCTAGCGTCTAGTCTGGAATCTTGCACAATATATCAATTTCACTTCAGCTTCTCAAGCATTTATATGGTATTTATAGAAGTGTTTTCATATCTGTATATATCTGTTTAAAACATGTTTTAATGCTAAATGTTTGTCTTCAGTATGTTAAAAATACTTTACACACATTATTCAGTTATATGAATTGTAAGTCTACAGAAGTTAATATTTCCATGTCCCATATTTAAAAGGGTATGAAGCTGAAACAAAGGCTTGCTGAAAGCCATCTAGTAAGCTCATAGTGGGGTGAGATTTACAGAAGGGGCTTCATGATTCACAGCCCAGTCTTTTTTCACCACTGCAATACAACAGTTCAACATACTTTTCTACTGAAAGTGAAAAGTATCTGAGCAAAAGATCACATTACTACAAGGCAACATTACATATAGGACTTTTCCTTCACAAGAGACTGAATACAGAAAAATACAGTCCACGTGGTATGAGAAAGTACCGAGTCTTTCAATAGTACATGTCCTTACCAAGTCATGTATTAATTTGTAAAATAGTCCTATTTGTGCAGGGCCAAACTTAGTTGTAACCAGTCTCTTCCCTGAATCCTTGCCATAGCCCTCTTTCAATACAGGTATTGATAACAGGAAGTTGTCAGCCATAGATCAGACAAGTATATATACATATATTCCATTCCCCCTCCCCAATGAAATGTACATATACTGTATGCATGAACCCAAGGTCCCCCTCCCATAACACATCAATGAGAGAGGAGAAAAGGCAACAGGACAAGTGGGGAGTGCCTGCTGAGCTTGACCAAAAACATGAAGGTCCAGAAAAAAATGTTGCAAACACATTTTAAAAACTTTTTCTGCCTCAGATTCCAGCCCATCCGAGACCTACAGAAATCACCCCTGCCCTTTATTTACATAGGTCTTCACATCCCTAAACTCCCATTTTTCCCTATTATTTTTATAGGATCTTTTCCTCCAGGGAAAAGCTCGCTTACTTTTTAAATGCAGAAGATAATTCTGCAGCACTTCTGTAAATTGCAAGGAACAGAGAGGATACAAAATTAACTTTACCTGTAAGATATGCCATCATCTTCTTTCAGCACTCCATAGTCTTTTGAAATTGCACGGTTTGTGTCAGACACCAAGGGAATTTGCATGGTACCTAATCCACCTTGTTTTTTAGGTGTGTTGACCCTGCAACAAGAGGAAACAGTTTTAAGGGAAAAATGGTATTTTAAGTTCTAAGGAGAATCAATAGGAACATGTTGGTATATCCTTTTCACTCTGTCAATCCAGTTACATTTTTTAGTCACAGCACAATATATTTCAAGGTATTTATTCATATTACTGATATATCACCTTTCTCTCCATATGAGACCCAAGGTGGCTCACAATTAAAACTACACATCAACAGTTTAAAACTACTAAAGAAACCACATTTAAAAAACAATTAAACATTTACCAATATTAAAAATAATGATTAAAACCAAATTTAAAAACAATGAAAAGCTCTAAATTTAATTTTAAAAAGCATTCCTGAGACCCCCACTCATCAATTAAAAGCCTGCATCAAAAAGAAGACCTTTGCCTGATTTCTCTTGAACCTATAATAGACAGATGCTATTCTGTGATCTTTAAAATTGTGAAACGATAGTGCCTCAAAAATACTGTTTCTAGTTTCAAGTGTTAGCTCAAACTAAATTAGTACCTTAACAAACTCTAATACATATTATTAGAGTTGTGCAGAAGTAGATTCCCAACTGTTCAGACTGACACTCCTCTTGTAATATCCATATTTAGGAAGTGGTTTGATCCTGGATGAAAGCTGACTTGGAATGTGAGCAAAAATTGGGTAGGTAAATACTGTATGGAGCAGTTGATCTGTACCAGTTGTAATTAATCTTTTTTTTTTTCAAATGTAGCAGCTGGCACGAGCCAACAGGTGGCATCATAGTAAGCCACCTTCATACTGAGGATATGGGTGAGATGAATATATGCACACCGTGAGAGCAGGGATTCTTTTGATAAACTGCTCACCTTTCTCCTTTTCAGTGTTGGTGGAGATGGTGATCCTTCTGCACAAATTGATAGTATTGTGAGATACCAGCATCCATGCTGATAAAGAACAGCTTAAGAAATCACAGCAACCTGTGAGTGTCTTGGCTGGCCCTACAACCTAATTTTGAAGATACCACATGACCAATAGTTTTCCAAACACTCTTATCATAGACAGATCAGTACTGTATTTAGTAAGGATTCAGCTTACTGGTACTTTTACTATGTTGGTTTGAAAAAGACTTGATAGCTGAAAACCCAGTTATTGAGGGGGGAGCTTCCTTTTATTTCCAGTGCATTTTGAGAGCAGTGCTTCAATATTTTTCAAAGGAAGAATTAAAAAACAGTTCTAAAAACCATCTTCAGAAAGCTACTCAATCCTACCTTACTTAACTCACTCCAGGAGTAACTCCTTAAAGGGGATTTCTAGACTCCCTTCCAAAGCCCTCTGCAAGACACTTGGCTACTGAAATTATTGTCTCTTCCAGTAAAATAACCAAGGCTTCTGCTACACTAATCTCAAAGGCTAAGTTGAGGGTTTTTTTCAGCCTGAGGATTTTGATGTTACTTGGAGGAGAAAAGTGAATGACCTGTTCTTTAGGGCACTCTCCATCTTGAGATGGCAAATGCTTATTTGATAGAGGGCCATATTCATAGCCCTCTGAAAGAAATAGCTGCAAGATCCTTACTAAAGCAGGCTTCACCAACCCTTACCAACCCAAACTGTTATCAGCCAGTTTCTAATGTCCTTCTGCAAGATGCATTCTTATGATCAAGTGCTGATGTTACAAGTCTAAAACTTCTTGGATCAAGCTGGTGATCTGAACCTTGTCCAATCTGGTTTCAGGCCAAGGTGGCAGGAAAAAGCCTTCATGGATCAAAAGATACGTAATAGGCCATTTCAGCAGTCACTGACTTTCTTACTATTAACGTTAATGACTGCCTCTGTGCACAGCTATTGTGTTCTGTCTTTTATATACTGTACTGTAGTTAGCATATGAACTGATTAGGTAATCTGATAGCATCTACTTGCAAAAGGCTTAAATGTCTGAAGCTGTAACTTCAGACCACTTTCCTGGGAACAAGCCACAGTAAATTCAGGAGGATTTACTTCTGAGTAAGCAAGTATAGGATACACTATTAACACAAGAGTCACACAGTGGAGAAATGACATCTCAAGCTCAAAATTCTTACCAGGCAAGATGACAGAAGTGGGAGTCAACAGAAGCAGCAATTACTTCACAATTGATTTTTCTAAACTCATCAGATCTGTCGCTGAATGCAATTATTTCAGTCGGGCAGACAAAAGTGAAGTCAAGTGGATAGAAGAAAAACACAACGTATTTCCCTAGGAAAACATCAGAAGATTCACATTAAGAAATTCCTTCTACACAAATTGCAAGTGTTTTAGTAAAACTTCACAATTCACAAATTAATGAATGCAAACATTAATGCACCTGCTTTACACCAGCCTGTCTGACTATTCAAGAATCCTCAAATATACAGAATTACCTAATCATCACCAATCTCACAGAAGTGTCACATGAGACAGTTTATTAAATATATTTTTATCCTGCCTTTCTCCTCAAAAGACCCAAGGCAGCTTAAGTTAAGGACACTCTTACAATCTCCAGAATTTCGCAGGCAACACAGCCACTTGGAGCGGTCATCCAAAAGGCAGAAATAAGTGCATCTCCACTTAAAGCCTTGAATGATTTTGGACGAGGAGTAAGCCAGTGAGAATTGTCACCTCTTTCATGATCTTGCCAATCCACTGAGAGGCTGACTACACAGTTAGCTGGGAAACTTCATTTGGGCATCTGGCAGGAAAGCAGGAGGCCGGTGCTCAAAAAGAACTCCTTGGCCCGGAAGATGATTCAGACCCACTTCAATAATCTTCTTCAGATATTTGTTTGAAAGGCAATAGAAGATTTTTTTTAAAGATGATCACTCCCATCTGCATTTACTTTAACTACACCACAGAAAAGTGTTTTTGGTTTAAGTCATGTTTTAATGTATATTAACCACTTTTCACTAAAATGGAAATTGGGAGAGATTAATGCTAGGGACCAGCCATTCCTGTGATGAAGAACTCGCTGGGCTAAAATGAAGCCTGTGTGCCATCAGTTTTGCCAGCATCTTGGAACACCTCCCCTGCATCCACAATGCAGTGCCTGGAGCCTCTGCAGTTGGGAGTGGGAAACATTCTTTGCTAGCTCCTTTTAAGTATTTGAGTATGGAATATTTTAATGTTCAGAGCACATTTTACTTCTTTGACCCTCTGCAAGCTTCAATTGAACAAACAGGAGGAAGTTTGTGGCATGGAGCACCAACTTGTACAGCCCACTGAACTCCATGCAGCAGCCATGCATTGGCCAATCCGATATGCATGACACAGAAGCTACTGAGGGCAATGAATGAGACATCACAGTAGTATGGAGCCAGACTCAAAGACTCCATGGAACTACCTGCAGTAGAACAAGGTATAGGGATAGCTAAAGAAGAAGAATATAAGAATATATGTAAAAGAAACAAAGGGTCAGTGTTTAACAAGTTAAAGGAGTCAACAGCTCACTGCAGTTATCTGGTGATGGATAAATAGTACACATTTCTGTCTGGACACTAGCCATGTATTTATCTTATGTATACCCACCTTTCTTCCAATGAATATGTGGTTTCTTTTCCCCACATCATGCTAAAAAAGCAAGCCTATGAAGCAGGTCAGTCTAAGACTGTGATTGGCCCAAAGTAACCCGTTAAGTTTCATGGCCAGGTCTCCCAAGCCCTAGTCCAGCACTAATCAATACATCATACTGGCTTTACACAGATGAACAGACCCCACTTCCAGCCACTGAGTAGTGAAAGACTGTGACAAATTCCTGATGTTTCAGAAGGTAGCCTCTACAGAGTGGAATAGAAGGAACAGCTGGAGGCCCAAGGCTGGGGATCAATGCTCTACAGAGTGGAATAGAAATAACTAGTTTTATTCTCAAGATACTTTGTTTCTTTTATTCTACAACATGCTTGCTAGTTATTTCTATTAAATTAGACGTAACACACACCAATACCACTACAACAGTTAGCACCTATATCTGTAGTAGAAATAAGTAAGCAGGGTTTGTAAATCAAGTGACTGTGGCAAACAGATGTCTTCAAGTATCAAGAAAAGGAAGTGGTTTTGCTTAGGCCACAAATATGGGTTTCTACAGCCAAATGAGATAATGTTTGAGGACTTATTCACAGTACTATAACACGCTACCTGTCTTAGGCCACAAATATGGGTTTCTACAGCCAAATGAACTACTGTTTGAGGACTTATTCACAGTACTATAACACGCTACCTGTGTACACTGCCATTTTGTAGGACTGGCTTGACCCATCTTGGACCAATTATCATTTTGCACCTTTGGATCTGTTAAATTTTATGACAGCCTATTCATAAGACACAGTGTGAATAACCTAGCAAAGCATGCCTGAAAACACAATTTCAGACCTGTTTTCTTAACTCTGCAGAACAAACATTTCAGAAATCAAGAGGATTCCATTTTAAATTCAAAACACTATATATCATGATTTTTAGATCAGTTATATTTATACAACTATCCCAAATCATAAAACCAGTCCTCTTTCTTGTACTTACCTTTGAAATCGGACAATTTTATATCTTTGAATTGCCCATCAGGCATTACAGCTGTGGCTTGAAAGTCTGGGGCTGGTTTTCCAATGTAAGCATTTCCTGCTGCCATTCTGAGAGAAGCTGAAGATAGACAAGATTCGGTCAGACTCTGATGTTAAGCACACCCAGTCCAAAGGAGGAAACAAGCAGCAATGATTTTGTTAACATTGACAAGGACACTTAGAAGCTACCAGACTGACCAGCTACCTGCAAGCCTACAGGGATTTTGCATGTGCTATGGTTTCATTGACCCAGTATGGTGCAGTGGATGGAGTGGTGGATTAGGAGGCCTGAATTCAAATTCCCATTAAGTCTTTGAAGCTTATTGGAGGTGTGGAATTGGTAAAAGCACTCTTTAAATATCTCACTTCCTTGAAAGTGCTGCTAGGTTTCCTATTAAGTCAGTTTCAATTTGAAGGCACACAACAATAATTTCACTATTTCGCCATTTTGAGATATTGTTAGACAGGATAAAAATACAGAATCACTTCAGTGTTTAGAATGGAAAGGAACCTTTACTATAGGCACAGATACACTACTGTACATAAGAACTCACCATTAGCACTAATGGTTAACATTAAGCTAAGTATTTGTGCTAATACAAAATACGGTAGGAGTAAACTTGATTTCAGCCTTTATCTATAGTACTGGCTGACTGACAAAAATAACATTAAAATTAATAGCCTCATATAGAACATTCTATGGGATTTTGTTCACTGTATGTTTTTATGTTCAGAACACAGCTTGCCTCTAGTCTAATGCAACCATATTCTAATCACACAATTACTGTAACAGTTACCTTAAAATTAACCAAATAATGGCTGAGATCCTGTTGCTTGGAGTTCTAAGTCACAACTCAAGTAGTCAAAATAAATCAATGAGGATTTGATGAATCAATTCCTCCATACATTCCATTAATTCAATGGGCTTACTCCAGTTGTGATTTACTATGCTAAGCAACAGGATTTCAAACAATGTTATGCAACATTTTAGATAACTCAGTTCCCATTACATATACTCCAGTTGTGATTTACTATGCTAGGCAACAGGATTTCAAACAATGTAATGCAACATTTTCGATAACTCAGTTCCCATTACATGAGTACCATGTGCCCTTTTAGTATTAGTTACTTTACATGAGCATGTAGCCACAAGACCATCAACTTTGGGGATAAAAAAATACAAGCTAGTGTATCTGCACATTCGAAAACCACTTACACCCCACGTGATTTACTATGCTAGGCAACAGGATTTCAAACAATGTAATGCAACATTTTCGATAACTCAGTTCCCATTACATGAGTACCATGTGCCCTTTTAGTATTAGTTACTTTACATGAGCATGTAGCCACAAGACCATCAACTTTGGGGATAAAAAAATACAAGCTAGTGTATCTGCACATTCGAAAACCACTTACACCCCACAACTTCTGGAATTAAATGGCTGAAACCTTCCAATTTTGACTAGAAGGGACTAGATCATTTGCCAACACCTGTTTTTAGCTGAGCTACAGTCCTCCACCGCTGGGAATGATTTTTCCAGGAATAGTATATTGTTGCAAACTATCCTTGTTACAATGCAGAATACCTGAAGTTGATTTGGTGTCAAACAAACAATTAAGAGCCATTTGCTTTACCAAATATTTGTTCCTCCTTTGTGAATATGGACCAACACAACTGCCTGCATTTTGGATCCTCCTGGAGGGGAACTGGCTAAGGAAACTATCATCACACTTCCAAATTTACTGCTACACTGTTGTCTGTACGCCCAAACAGGTGATAGCAGGGTAGATAAAAATCAATGACTTCTTAAAAATCAAATTACTTTAAATCCTGATTTAACTTTTTTTAAAAAAGTTTTTATTTAAATAATGAACACCCATTTTTTACATTTAAATGAATTTGATTTAAATCAAATTTACCCTAGGTGACAGTTTACAAATCATATTTCAGTCCCTATATGCTAAAAGCTAAAAATTCCATGATGCTAAAAGGGCTGCTCCTTGAATAGCAGCGTGGATTTCAGTAAATCCCTAGGAGTGCAACCTTGCATCCCTCCCTATTCGGAAAGAAACCTCACTGAATTCAAAGGCGGGCACTCCCCAAGGCACGAGTGTGTAAGAGCCCTGCTTTAATTTTTCCATTACGCAATGCAAGGAACTGAAAATCTGAAAAAGGAAGCCTGATAATGAATTGCGGCTCGACCATCCCAACGCTCCCTTCCGAGTGAGATTACCAGATGCCCAGTCTTTACATTTCATTAAGTCCAATGACAGTGTCTTTGGTAAGAGAGCAGATGATTGTCTTTTTTCCCCCAGTATGTATTTCAATATTGTTATTATCTCTTAAGCCTTAAAACCCAAAAAGCAGAAAACATACCTGGCCTAAACTCAAGGGTCTCTTATTTCCTGCCTGAACTTTCCTCTCATCCCCGAAGAAACCGAGCTCTTCTTAAGGCTCACCCAGCTGAACAGGCCAGCCCAAAACTTCCAGAGACTTGGCCAGGCCACCCACCCACCGCGCTCCAGCACACTCTCCCCCCGGGAAAGCAAAACCCTCTCAAGTGCCACCGGCCGGGCGCGCTGAACGGCATCCAACTTTCCCTCCGCCGCCCCCCCCCGACCCGGTCCTACAGGCAAGGCAGCCTTTCTGCGCTCGGGACGGCTTTTCCCCCTTCCGCCTCTTCTTCAAGCAAGAAACCCGGGCATCCCACGTGCAACCGGACTCTTAGCATGCTAAAGGAAAAGCGCCCCCCTGAACCCTAACCCCAACCCCGCTCTGCTCCCCGAAAGGACGGAGGACCAAGGACGTCCTCGAAGCAAGGCTTCCTTTTTTGACAAAAGAAGAAACCTTTCGAAGAACTTCTGCTGCAGAGCTACAGATGCACCTTCCAACCGCCTGACCTTCCAGGCATCCCAAAAATAATAATTTTAAAAAAGCCACCCCCCACATCTTTTCAGACACACCAGCAGGAAAGCCTTAAACTGTATCAAGAGATACAGCGGGAAAGGGGGCTTTCTCCTACCGCAAATGAGTCCCGCACGGAAACTTAACAGCTGCTCACAGTCCCCTTGGGCGAAGCTAAACGGCTCTCCAGGCGATCCTCCCGCGCTCGTTAGGAACAAAAAGCTAGACCTTAAGGGCTTTCCGCCCGGCTTTGCTTTTATACCTTTCCGTAATCTCGCGAGAGGACCGGCAGAAGCCGAAGAACCGGTCCGTTGGCTCCTCCTCCGCTCTCGCTTCCTTCCCGGATTCTGCCGCTGCCTCGCCAGCATGACTTTGCATTTCAGTGCCTTCAAAAGATTTTTTTTGTTAGTTAGCTGAGATTATTCGCGGTGATCCCAAGCTTAATGCTGTTGAGTGGTAGAAGGATGGAGTAAAAGGGATTAAGAGCCAGCGCGATTTGCCTTCCAAGAGGTTGTTGGCAGCTCTTGGGGAAACGTGGGTGACCATTACGGTGGGGAGGAATGGTTGCGTTGAGTCTATCTAAAGAGCATGAGTAATGGTGGAAATTATGATCCTTTATTAATGGGCGGGGAAAGTGATTGCAGACATTTCGATGTAAGCTGGTTGTGCAACCGGGTAAAATGAATTGAAAATGGAGAGCCATGAGAATCACGTACTGTACTTACGATGAAAAAACAATCGTACGGGGTGGAGGGGATTTGCCCATTTAAGTACGTCCACTTTTGCTGCATCGATGGCAAGTAAAACATGGACTGCAGAAATAATTCTGCGTTAGCATGCTACTTGTTAACGTTTGGAGTAAACATTTATTCTCTTAAAGGCTGAAAAAGAAGCATGCTAAACGTACAGTACGGTATTCGTTCCCTGGATCCTGCATCTTCAGTTCTAAGGCCACAGATGTTTCAGACAGGGATTTTATGGGCAGACCCATGTGTGTCATGTTGCCTGTCCAGCATCCTCTAAATTAGCCTGTTGCATGTATTGCCAAGAGTACTGAAAATTCACAAACTAGTCTGGTGGTCGTCTGTGTATGGAATGGTGGGTGGGAAGAGATGAAGATACAGAATGCATCTTGTCCTTTTCATCTGACAGGAAAATATTTTGGGAGAAGGAAGGAAATATTGTACACCTGATTTTATTTATTAAGTTACATGTTCTCAAGTTGCATCTGACCTATAGCATCTCTAATAGGGGTTTCAAGGTGTGTGAAATATTTAAGGAGTAATTTTACCAGTGCACCTCCCCAGTGAGTTTCCATTGCTGAGTCTGGATTGGAACCAAGATCTACAGTCTATTTGCAAATTGCTGTTGCAAAAAAAGAGGGGAGGATTAGCTCTCCTCCACCCAGCAAATTACTACTCAGTAATGTTACCAAAAATGTCACAGTCATTATGTTAGAGAAACATTTTGTGAATTGCTTATACACAAGTTTTCTCCAAATTTTGCCTTCCAGATGTTTTGATTTTCAGTTCTTACTTGCCCCAAACAGGAATTCAGGGCGTTTTAGTCTATAACATTTAGAGAGCACCTGATCATGTGTGGCTGCTGTGTACAGAAGCTGGTTTCTGCTGGCCTTTTTAGATTAGAATATCTGCAGGAACAGAATCAGACTGGATCAGACTAAAAGGTTGTCTAGTCCTGTATGTCACAGTGGCCAGAGAGGCTTCTGAAGAAAAAGAAAATCAACAAGGGACTTGAGGACAATGTGTGTTCAGCTGGTGTACGGAACCATGTTGTCTATAAGCCTGGAAGTGGCACATGATCATCATGGTTTAGTAGCCATTCACAGGCTCATTTTCCATGTACTTGTGTAATCTAAATTAATAATCACAAAGCTAATCTAAAATAGTCATCACCCTATTTGTTGTTGTTTAGTCATTAAGTCATGTCCGACCCTTTATGACCCCATGGACCAGAGGACACCAGGCCGTCTGGTCTTCCACTGCCTCCCGGAGTTGGGTAAAATTCATGTTGGTAGGTTCAGTGACACTGTCCAACCATCTCATCCTCTGTCGTCCCCTTCTCCTCTTGCCTTCACACTTTCCCAACATCAGGGTCTTTTATCGTATTCATATTGATCCATTTAGTATTGTACACTCACCCTTATTAGCTTAAATGCTGTCTTTTAATTGTTGTAAGCCATCTTGGGTATTTCTTTAAGTAGAAAGGTGGGTTAAAAATAGTTTAAATAACTACTGTAAATTTAAATAAATAATTAAAAAAGACACAATTCGATGTCCACTTGGAATATGCAGGATGGAGCAGATAGATATTGGTGATAATTTGCCCATATCTTTACTACAGTGGTGCCTCGACTTACGACCATTTTGAGTTGTGACCAGCTCTGGCCTCAACATTTTGCTTTGACTTGCGATCAAAAGAGGCAGGGGAAAAGGCGGGGAATTCAAATTAGAGGGTTAACCGTTGGTCGGCGAAGAACTTCTTTGTACCTCTTTTGCCCCAACGGTTAGAGAGTGGGTGTCGGAGGAGGCTTCAGACTGCCTTGTGCCGCTTTCTGCTCATGAGTAAGTACATTTACTTTGTTTTGCAGTGTGGGTTTGGGTTTGGGGGAGTTATGTTTCTGTGCTGTGAGTGTGTTTTTCTGATTTTTCCCCCAGCCCTATTGCTATCCGATGGGGCTTACTGTGGAATGTGTGTGCTTTTTTGCTTTGCTGGCTGTGGTTTTTTTTGTGTGTGTGTGATTTTTTTTTCTGCTGGAACGGATTAATCCCGTTCCAATGCATTCCTATGGAAAATGGTGCTTCGATTTATGACCATTTTGAGTTGTTCATCTTCTGGAATGGATTATGGTCGTAAGTTGAGGCACCACTGTATCTGGATTGTCCGGGACATCCAGATCTTTCTGGTATAAATCCTCTGTGTATTTTTGACACCTCTTCTTGATGTCTTCTGCTTCTGTTAGGTCCCTACCATTTTTGTCCTTTATCATGTCCATCTTTGCATGAAATGTTCCTTTAACATTTCCAATTTTCTTGAACAGATCTCTGGTTTTTCCCTTTCTATTATTTTCCTCTATTTCTTTGCACTGTTCATTTAAGAAGGCCCTCTTGTCTCTCCTTGCTATTCTTTGGAAGTCTGCTTTCAATTTTCTGTAACTTTCCCCCTTCTGTAACTCCCCCCCTCCACTATCTCCCTTGCATTTTTTTTTCCTTTCCCGTCTCTGCTCTTTGTAAGGCCTCGTTGGACAGCCACTTTGCTTTCTTGCCTTTCCTTT